AAGAGAAAACTGTTACTGAGGATAGAATTTGACCTGTTATGATTACAAATATAATTCTGAGTGGTCAGCCCTGTTGTTAGATGATCAGAACAACTTCACTCTATAGCCTTATTTTGACCTACAGTAGAAGAAGCGTTTAACTGATGTTCTAAGTCTTGTGATTAAAGTCCACAACAGGCAGCTCAGTTGAATGCAGCTAGCTGGGTACCTGGACATTACAGCTAACCATTACCATAGGCTCCTGTATCAACATGTGCTAGGGCTTCTGTAACTCTTGGGACAGACTCTTTACTTTGGCTAATCCAAAGTCATGGTCTAATAAAACTCTTTTCAAGTCTAGCAGCTTTCCAGGCAAGTTCCTCAACTGTTTGTAGTAAGACTCTTTGCATAAATAATGAATGGTTATTACTTCTTTCTTTCCATTTTTGTAGAAGACTATCAACAGAGGAAGCTACAAGATGGGCAGATTCCTTTGACATACTTCTGTCGCATAAATGTGAGTAGAGACCATGCTCTGTCTGAATATATACTTTTTCATAAATGTTTGCTGAGGATGGAATATGGACAGGGTATATTTTAAATGATCAGAGTGCATGGGCAATAGCCCTCCATAATAAGTTACCATAATCATCTTTAGCTAAGGTATCTGGAATAGTCACAGTAGCTTGCTGGAAGGGGTATTGTCCAGTGAAAGTAGAGGACAGACTAGGAAAAAAATCCCTTGGTTTCTAATCCTGATCCTATATTGACTTACTAGGTGACCTGGGGTAATTCATATAGGGTCAAATTCTGGTTTTATACATACTTTTAAGCAGGGGAGGGACAAGTATAGTCTGAGGGGCTTAGAGAATTGGGGTGGCAGGTGGAGTCTGCAGGGGTGTTGGTGGGGTCAGTATGGGTTTAGCAGGATTGGGGGGGCTTGCAGGATCTACAGGAGGAGGTTAGGGGGATGGAGGGGGGTTCACTTCCCCAAACCCCAGGACCAGGAGCTATTTTTAGGCCCCCAACTTCCCCTGAGATGAACAACCCCCTGCCCAGCAAACCTAAACCTCAATTGCTTCTCCCCCTCCCCCCAT